CGATGTGACATGAAAGACGACATTTTTTTTCTATGATACATCACGCATTCATCCATCAAGTAACATGCACAAGTTGGTTACTGCGTGCCGATTGRCTTCTCTACGACATGTGAGTTTTGTATAATTGCACGCGGTTGTCAACTTCGTGTTTCGATGCCGGGTATCTATCATGCCCTTGTAATTACGAACTTCCACTCCGTGTTCCATCTATGAGATCTCTGAAGACATTTTTTATGTCACACGCTGTTGCGGTGTTATATCCTTTTGCCATTGCAGCACACTGCGTTGTACCATTGACTGACGAAATCTCTCAACCGTTCGTTCGTTGACCTCCATCGAGCTAACAACTTCTGTTATATATTTTGCGGCTATGTTCGTTCCCCTAGTCACGTTTGCTAGCTTTCGCACCAATTCAGCTGCCAAGCAACAAACGTAAACACCACAGTCCGACGTATTGGTCTGTTGCGAACATTCCGCATATATTATTTTAGATCCAAGTAGATCTCTGCATGTCACCCACGACTTGTCCACGGTCTCGGGAGTCAACACCCCTGCTTTGTCTGCCTCGTTGAGGTATTCATACCACAAAAATGTGCGCAACGCCTTCCATTCCTGTCGGGCGCTCTGTTGAAAGGAATCCATGACGATCGCAACAGGTCATTTTTGCCCATCATTGTCCTCCGTGACTGCCAAAAACTGACTGACATTCAGTAACAAGAGCAATTTCCAATGGGTTTTGTGATTCACAGGGATGCGAACAACAGCTGCCTTTCGCAGTTGATTGCTTATTCGACACAGCTTTGCAGGTCTACTCTTGATCCGCTCCTGCCATTTCGCGACATAAACCTTCTGATTGACGATGACCGCGGGATGCGAGAAAGTTGTGCAAACATGAAGTGTCGTGTTGTCCTGTGCAAGGAAATGTTCTTCATAGACGGACTGTAAGTACATATCGATCACGTCGTCGTTCAGCCACTGCTTCGCACCCAATCGCAATACATCCCGTTTCGTTATCGCTATCGCATGTCTTCTTGATTTCCACGTGAACGGGAACAAGTGTTCCTCGTCCACCCTCTCAGGCCTCTTTCCAGCCTCTGCAGCCATACCTCTCGACCGATTGCCCCCTGCAATACTGAACAAAGGTTCATGCACCATCTGAGGATATTGGACGTCATTTGTGGTCATCATCTGGTACATTTCCGCATACCACGGGTCCTCCAGTATCCTCTTCCATAGCTTCACTGATCTTTCGCTGCTCAATAAGAGCAACGGTTCGGTGACACTTGGTCCACATGACTGTTCGTCATTCCTTGTTGTTTCTGAACTGTCCGTCGCTTTTGAGCCCATGATACAACCCTT